AGCAGGGGGCTTCACTTTGTCATCTGAGATAAGAACGTTTCAGCAGGGGGCTTCACTTTGTCAACTGAGACAAGATCATTTCAGCAGGGGGCTTACAACTGTGATCATTTCAGCAGATACTTTGTCTCTGTAAGATCATTTTTGTGAGAAAGAACGTAGGAATCATAGAAAATTTTGTCAGAACGTTTCAGCAGTGTTACTTTGTATACATACAATGTACACTGTAAATGGTACGTGGAGATCACTTTGTCAGTTAGGAATGTTTGTGTTACAGGGGATATGTTAAATGCATTTCAGCATTTGACTTTTTTACAAAATCTTTTTTTAGTTTATCTCCAGTTAAACATAGACCGTTTAACTCTTGTAGATTTCTGTCACAACACCATCTCAATGATGTATGTTAAAGTGCTAATTGTATACATACATACAATGTACACTGTAAATGGTACGTGGAGATAGACAGTTTGTGTTAGGAATGTTATCGTGTTACTGGTTTGTGTAAAAACTATCACTTGTATACATACAATGTACACTGTAAATGGTACGTGGAGACAGTTTGTGTTAGGAATGTTATCGTGTTACTGGTATACATACAATGTACACTGTAAATGGTACGTGGAGATGGACAGTTTGTGTTAGGAATGTTATCGTGTTACTTGTATACATACAATGTACACTGTAAATGGTACGTGGAGATAGTTTGTGTTAGGAAGAATTTTGTCTACAAATTGTTGGTGTTACTTGTATACATACAATGTACACTATAAATGGTACGTGGAGATGGACAGTTTGTGTTAGGAATGTTATCGTGTTACTGGTATACATACAATGTACACTGTAAATGGTACGTGGAGATGGACAGTTTGTGTTAGGAATGTTATCGTGTTACTTGTATACATACAATGTACACTGTAAATGGTACGTGGAGATAGTTTGTGTTAGGAATGTTATCGTGTTACTTGTATACATACAATGTACACTGTAAATGGTACGTGGAGATAGTTTGTGTTAGGAATGTTATCGTGTTACTGGTATACATACAATGTACACTGTAAATGGTACGTGGAGACAGTTTGTGTTAGGAATGTTATCGTGTTACTGTGTTTTGTGTTAGGAATGTTATCGTGTTACTGGTATACATACAATGTACACTATAAATGGTACGTGGAGATAGTTTGTGTTAGGAATGTTATCGTGTTACTGGTATACATACAATGTACACTGTAAATGGTACGTGGAGACAGTTTGTGTTAGGAATGTTATCGTGTTACTGGTATACATACAATGTACACTGTAAATGGTACGTGGAGATAGACAGTTTGTGTTAGGAATGTTATCGTGTTACTGGTATACATACAATGTACACTGTAAATGGTACGTGGAGATAGACAGTTTGTGTTAGGAATGTTATCGTGTTACTGGTATACATACAATGTACACTGTAAATGGTACGTGGAGATAGTTTGTGTTAGGAATGTTATCGTGTTACTCGTATACATACAATGTACACTGTAAATGGTACGTGGAGATAGTTTGTGTTAGGAATGTTATCGTGTTACTGGTATACATACAATGTACACTGTAAATGGTACGTGGAGATAGACAGTTTGTGTTAGGAATGTTATCGTGTTACTGGTATACATACAATGTACACTGTAAATGGTACGTGGAGATAGTTTGTGTTAGGAATGTTATCGTGTTACTGGTATACATACAATGTACACTGTAAATGGTACGTGGAGATAGTTTGTGTTAGGAATGTTATCGTGTTACTGGTATACATACAATGTACACTGTAAATGGTACGTGGAGATGGACAGTTTGTGTTAGGAATGTTATCGTGTTACTGGTATACATACAATGTACACTGTAAATGGTACGTGGAGATAGACAGTTTGTGTTAGGAATGTTATCGTGTTACTGGTATACATACAATGTACACTGTAAATGGTACGTGGAGATAGTTTGTGTTAGGAATGTTATCGTGTTACTGGTATACATACAATGTACACTGTAAATGGTACGTGGAGATAGTTTGTGTTAGGAATGTTATCGTGTTACTGGTATACATACAATGTACACTGTAAATGGTACGTGGAGATAGACAGTTTGTGTTAGGAATGTTATCGTGTTACTGGTATACATACAATGTACACTGTAAATGGTACGTGGAGACAGTTTGTGTTAGGAATGTTATCGTGTTACTGGTATACATACAATGTACACTGTAAATGGTACGTGGAGATAGTTTGTGTTAGGAATGTTATCGTGTTACTGGTATACATACAATGTACACTGTAAATGGTACGTGGAGATAGTTTGTGTTAGGAATGTTATCGTGTTACTGGTATACATACAATGTACACTGTAAATGGTACGTGGAGATAGTTTGTGTTATCGTGTTAGGAATGTTATCGTGTTACTTTGTGTTATACATACAATGTACACTGTAAATGGTACGTGGAGATAGTTTGTGTTGTGTTAGGAATGTTATCGTGTTACTGTTAGGAATGTTATCTGTATACATACAATGTACACTGTAAATGGTACGTGGAGATAGACAGTTTGTGTTAGGAATGTTATCGTGTTACTGGTATACATACAATGTACACTGTAAATGGTACGTGGAGATAGTTTGTGTTAGGAATGTTATCGTGTTACTGGTATACATACAATGTACACTGTAAATGGTACGTGGAGATAGACAGTTTGTGTTAGGAATGTTATCGTGTTACTGGTATACATACAATGTACACTGTAAATGGTACGTGGAGATAGTTTGTGTTAGGAATGTTATCGTGTTACTGGTATACATACAATGTACACTGTAAATGGTACGTGGAGATAGTTTGTGTTAGGAATGTTATCGTGTTACTGGTATACATACAATGTACACTGTAAATGGTACGTGGAGATAGTTTGTGTTAGGAATGTTATCGTGTTACTGGTATACATACAATGTACACTGTAAATGGTACGTGGAGACAGTTTGTGTTAGGAATGTTATCGTGTTACTGGTATACATACAATGTACACTGTAAATGGTACGTGGAGATAGTTTGTGTTAGGAATGTTATCGTGTTACTGGTATACATACAATGTACACTGTAAATGGTACGTGGAGATAGTTTGTGTTAGGAATGTTATCGTGTTACTGGTATACATACAATGTACACTGTAAATGGTACGTGGAGATAGTTTGTGTTAGGAATGTTATCGTGTTACTTGTATACATACAATGTACACTGTAAATGGTACGTGGAGATAGTTTGTGTTAGGAATGTTATCGTGTTACTGGTATACATACAATGTACACTGTAAATGGTACGTGGAGATAGTTTGTGTTAGGAATGTTATCGTGTTACTGGTATACATACAATGTACACTGTAAATGGTACGTGGAGATAGTTTGTGTTAGGAATGTTATCGTGTTACTGGTATACATACAATGTACACTGTAAATGGTACGTGGAGATAGTTTGTGTTAGGAATGTTATCGTGTTACTGGTATACATACAATGTACACTGTAAATGGTACGTGGAGATAGACAGTTTGTGTTAGGAATGTTATCGTGTTACTGGTATACATACAATGTACACTGTAAATGGTACGTGGAGATAGACAGTTTGTGTTAGGAATGTTATCGTGTTACTGGTATACATACAATGTACACTGTAAATGGTAGATAGACAGTGTTAGGAATGTTATCGTGTTACTGGTATACATACAATGTACACTGTAAATGACGTGGAGACAGTTTGTGTTAGGAATGTTATCGTGTTACTGGTATACATACAATGTACACTGTAAATGGTACGTGGAGATAGTTTGTGTTAGGAATGTTATCGTGTTACTGGTATACATACAATGTACACTGTAAATGGTACGTGGAGATAGTTTGTGTTAGGAATGTTATCGTGTTACTGGTATACATACAATGTACACTGTAAATGGTACGTGGAGATAGACAGTGTTAGGAATGTTATCGTGTTACTGGTATACATACAATGTACACTGTAAATGGTACGTGGAGATAGACAGTGTTAGGAATGTTATCGTGTTACTGGTATACATACAATGTACACTGTAAATGGTACGTGGAGACAGTTTGTGTTAGGAATGTTATCGTGTTACTGGTATACATACAATGTACACTGTAAATGGTACGTGGAGATAGTTTGTGTTAGGAATGTTATCGTGTTACTGGTATACATACAATGTACACTGTAAATGGTACGTGGAGATAGACAGTGTTAGGAATGTTATCGTGTGATGACAAGATCTAAATTTTGTATGAAAATAGTTATCTATTTGGAGTTATATAAATAATTGTTTTACATGGTATTTTTTTCAATCAAGTTAGTTTTATATAAAAGTGACAAAAACACCTGCTGAAGTTTGTATTTTTGCAACCTTTGAAAAGAAATATTACCTGGAGTAAATACCATATAAATATATATATAACAACTCAAATTGGGTGTGACCTGTATATTCCTATAACTGGTCATATTAAAATTTACTAAAACTCGCAAATAATTAACAACGGTATAATGATATGTATATATTCAACATTTGCGCTGTTTTCAAGGCATGACCTGATTAATATCATTTACAAACATGCACTAAAAGAAGAAATTAACTTGAAATTTTACATATAAACTATAATAAGCAGATCATGTTTCAAAGGACTTGAGTGGGTGGACGAGGCGGTTTTTGGAAACTGGGAGACTCACAACTTTATTGTAATATTGAAAATGGGCTGAAGAAACCATAGTAATATCCAACATATGTTTTGAGTGGGCAAATAATTCACATTTCACAATTAAACGAGAGTTGATATCTGCTGCACCTACCTGTGTGTGTCTCTCTCCTATACAGGTACCCGTTTCTCGACTTTTTCTTATATTATCTATTAAACCCAGAGACATTCCGAACTGAAATTGTTTAGATCACATGGTGATCACGTGACAATCTGTTATCGACGTCCCAGCTCCATGTGATGCAGACTGTTACAAACCTCTGTAGAAAAGTTGGTTTTATTCGCGAGATCAAGAGGATGTCATTGAATTCTGTCCACACCAAAACTAGAACGGGATTTGTAGACGTAAGTCAGATAAAGCTGTTTCAGTTATTGGTGTAGGAAATTCAGGAAATTACGTTTTAAACTGGTGCATATTTAGCATAAGCTTGAGCGATGAATATAGTCGAAGCACGTGAATGGGACGTTCTGTATGCGATATATAGCTTTCATACAGGCCTTGAGAATCAGGAAGATATGCAGCAACGGGACTGATTTCGCACTAGAATGCGATTAACTTCATAGAGATTTTTAAAGAGAGGATACCCGCCAACAATTATCACTAAAGCCATAGAGAAAGCCAGAAATACTACGAGAGATAGCCTACAAGCTACACCAAATAAGATGAAAGCTACCAATGTCTTACCCTTTGTTTTACCGTTCAACCCATGTAACCCGGTTATGTCTCAGAGTCAAGCACTACCTTATGTCTATATGAAAAACAATGATTAATTATATTTATTTATTTAAGGAACTGTGCTTTAATGTAATTTAATTTCCGAGATTAATTTCAATACTCTATTACCTACAATTATAGGTATAACGTAATAATTCAGAGGCTTATCTGCCCATACAACAATACACATTGATATTACGTCATAATTAAGTTGAATCCTGAAAAAAAGTACTTCAGGGGCTGAAAATATTTGTAAAATTGTCCTGATGAAGCCTCGACCGGAGGCGAAACTAGTCAACAATAAAGTCTAACCAGCTACTAAACCAGCAACGCTCGAGTTTGCTGCGATTGACTCCTAACCCTTTATTATGTTGATATTCCGTCAGTCTCCCTGCATACCCCTAGGTATCCAACCTCACGTGAAGTATCACACTGAACCATACACTTACCTAGATAGCGACGTTGGCTCCATATACCTCGTTTAAACAGAAAATACTTGTAATATTTTTACTCCATAAGGAAAAACACTTTAGTGAAGTTGTTGTAGGGGATCAATCTGGAGATCCACAAATGCTTTTCTTGGGACTTGACATTTTGAAGAATGCATCTCTCCCCCCACCCCACCCCCTTCCTTGTACTCCTGTACTATTAAGAAGCCTGCACTGGTAGAATGAAGAATGATTTATTATCTGACATAATTGTGCTGGTTGCAGTGCTTGCCTAAGCTGAGAAAATTGTCATTGTTAATTGTGATTGCACTAAACTTTCCTGAGTTGGATCCTATCACACTATATCTAACTTTTTTTATGTTAATATTTGATATATTGAACAACTGTAAGTACAAATATGATCATAAACATATTTCTCAAGTGAGAACCTGTAAGATATTTGCAATGTAAATTTTCATGGCATGGATGTTTCATCAGTATTAGCAATATCATCAGTGACGTAATTTTGTCCCTGGTATAAACTATGGTGAAACATTATTTCCAACAACCTTTATTCTGTTGTATTGTATTGCCTGATGATCCGCTGCATTTTTGTCTGTTCCCAATGCTGCCTGAAAAGGTAACAACATGTATGTTTTCCTTAAAAGATTTAGTTTTCCCCAACTTAAAATGGTTGCTAACTAAGGGGACCAACATTGGTTTTTAATTTAGTTTATAATATGGTGGTGATCAAATTTTAAGTTTTTGTTCTAACGGCCAAAGTTCAAAGACAAGAATGTATCAAAAGACTCATTAACGCCTTTTTTACCATGAACAATCATTGTCACCGCAAATGGACAAGATGTTTTTAAGTATCTAAGGAAGTCTAGAAAAGTATGATGTGGTGAAATTCTATGATGTTTTTATGTTTTTGTTTTGTGGAAACCATCCCCATGTATACGTTATCAACATTTTGATACAAATTACAGATGAATGATACAGAGACTGGTATGCCTATTGTTTTATATCACCAGGGCGGAAAATATAGTCAAGGTCGGCCATCTTACACAGAAGAGGCAGTGAGTTACATAGCAAACCTGTTAATTGATGGAAAACTCTCAGGACCCGGCAAAGGTAGATTCATGTAACTATAGATTGGCATCAAACAAAGGTAGACAACTGTATATAGGGACCAAACAAAGGTAGACAACTGTATATAGGGATACAACAAAGGTAGACAACTGTACATAGGAATCCAACAAAGGTAGAAAACTGTACGTAGGGATCCATCAAAGGTAGACAACTGTACATAGGAATCCAACAAAGGTAGACAACTGTACATAGGGACCAAACAAAGGTAAACAACTGTATATAGGGATACAACAAAGGTAGATAACTGTACATAGGGACCAAACAAAGGTAAACAACTGTTTGGGAATTTCCCTCTAGTCAGATGATAGAGTATAGGAATTTCCCTTTTGTCAGATGATACAGTTTGGGAATTTCCCTCTAGTCAGGTGATACAGTATGGGAATTTCCCACTAGTCAGGTGATACAGTTTGGGAATTTCCCACTAGTCAGGTGATACAGTATGGGAATTTCCCACTAGTCAGGTGATACAGTATGGGAATTTCCCTCTAGTCAGGTGATACAGTATGGGAATTTCCCACTAGTCAGGTGATACAGTATGGGAATTTCCCACTAGTCAGGTGATATAGTATGGGAATTTCCCACTATTCAGGTGATACAGTATGGGAATTTCCCACTAGTCAGGTGATACAGTATGGGAATTTCCCACTATTCAGGTGATACAGTATGGGAATTTCCCACTAGTCAGGTGATACAGTATGTAATTATCCTGTAGAGGTCCTGGAAGTGTATGTCACAGTGTCTCACAGTTTTGACTTTAAAACTATAAAATGTCTGATTCACATGACTGTTAGATTTGTAGAACTACATCAGAAGATTGATGACATGTTTTTGGAGTGACCCAGATTTGCTGGAGTTTTATTCTTTGTTAATAGGTTTGACTGATGAATGTTCGCTATCAGACTTGGTTGTTTGTTCCATTTTTAGAAAAAAATGGAAGAATGTTAATAGTTATATTGTGAATTTCACAATGAGTGTTGCTAGGTACTGCAGGAGATAAAATCTTGTATATAGAGGGAAATGTTGACATTTTAAAGTTTTTTAAGTTTAATTTCAAGGGATTTTTAAAAATGTATTTTTTGCACCTTTCATTTCTAAGAGTAACAAGACAATCTCTGTCAAGAAATTTGTTGCCAGTAATATCTTATTTGCAATATCAAAATTTTGTTCTTAATAACTTAAAGAAAAGATTGTTTGCTCTTTTTAAAAAAGATTAGTCTGGACTGGTTTATATGAAATATTCCATTTTCTTGTCTGTAATAAGTTTGTAAACATTAAAATATCTCTCTCAGTGTTTGTTTTAATTCATTTCAGTATGCAAGAAATGATATATGGATTTGTTAATGCTATTTTGAAGTTTATATATTGATATTATTACCGGGTACATGCATTGTGAGGAACCTCAGGGGCCGAACCAAGGGAGGTCACTACTTAAAACCTCAGCAGGTTCTGTTGACCACTCAAAGGGTAGACGCTATGGGAGACTGAGATACGTCCTTGGAAATATCAAACCTGGATTGTTGTTGTTTCTGGGAGTGAAAATGTGTGAAGAAAAATGGAGGGCCATTCATTGTTCACTAACCACTAATTAACTCTTACCTTGAACAAGAGTTCGTCTTTGATGGGGAGGTCACTAGTTCAAGCCCCAGCAGGAACAGAACACACTATTTATTACTCTGTCCCATTACAATTATAGGTATTTGCTATGATAACAATTACATTTCAGGAAATGTGTCTTATGATGTTGTTGAGCTCGGAGCTGGAACTGGAAAATTTACCGAAAAAATCATTACAAAGCTACCACAGGTAATCGTTAATATAATTAACAGGTTACAATGATAATAATTGTCTAATAATTAATTGATTAATAAAAGTTATAACATACATTACTCTGGAGATTTGTTATACAGAGTTCTAACATACTGTGATACATGTAACAGGTTATTAACTTTACACTGACAAATTTTTCTTGTATTTTATCATTTACAATTTACACTGAAGATCCATCTTGCTTTGTTTTCCTGCTAATCTGCACACAGGATATAAAATACCTAGCTACAGAACCCATGGATGGCTTCCTCGGTACACTCAAAGACCTCTGTCCTTCAGTGGACACCAAGCAGTGTACAGCAAACAATATTCCATTACCTGAAAATTCTGTCAGGGTATGTATATTAATTCAATTCCAGGTTATAATGTGTAATTATGTTTAAATCTTAAATAAGTTTTTGGCTATGCCTATGGTTCATGAATGAAGATATGTATCATATTATTTATTGTAGAATGTAATTGCTGCTCAGTGTTTTCATTGGTTCGCAAGTGTGGAGAGTCTATCAGAGATAAGCCGTGTCCTTGTACCAGGAGGCAGGTTTGGTAGGTTTAACTAAGGATAAGTTACTTCATATGACTGCAGTCAGATCACAGGGAGGAATAGTTTATATAACTTGTACCATGACACTGGGAGGACTAGTTAATGTCACTGCAGTCAGATCACAGGGAGGAATAGTTTATATAACTTGTACCATGACACTGGGAGGACTAGTTAATGTCACTGCAGTCAGATCACAGGGAGGAATAGTTTATATAACTTGTACCATGACATTGGGAGGACTAGTTAATGTCACTGCAGTCAGAACACAGGGAGGAATAGTTTATATAACTTGTACCATGACACTGGGAGGACTAGTTAATGTCACTGCAGTCAGAACACAGGGAGGAATAGTTTATATAACTTGTACCATGACACTGGGAGGACTAGTTAATGTCACTGCAGTCAGATCACAGGGAGGAATAGTTTATATAACTTGTACCATGACACTGGGAGGACTAGTTAATGTCACTGCAGTCAGAACACAGGGAGGAATAGTTTATATAACTTGTACCATAACACTGGGAGGACTAGTTAATGTCACTGCAGTCAGAACACAGGGAGGAATAGTTTATATAACTTGTACCATGACACTGGGAGGACTAGTTAATGTCACTGCAGTCAGAACACAGGGAGGAATAGTTTATGACAAGTTTCAGGTCACTGGGAGGAATAGTTTATGTAACTTGTACCATAACACTAGGAGGACTAGTTTTATATCACTTAACTATCATCATTACATAAAGTTATTTACTTACTGACTTGTAGTCAGTGAAGGAGGCAAACCAAAAGAACTTTGGAATGCTTTACCATAGCATGACACGGAGGAACTGTTTTTTACTCACAATTACTTTTCATCATCAACATTTATTGACACTGCCATCCCAATGACGGCTAGCCTAGCTGGTCTAAACACATCGATGATACCTTTAGAACTTCTAATTTACATTTGAAAATTGTTACAGAACATTTCAGTAACTTTATAAACAGCATTGCTGTACCACTTTTGTGTTTTATATAATCTGTAGCTACCTTTGTTCCTTTACTTTGTATAGTGTAACAAACTGTATTGTTATAGGGGAAAAAAGGAGAGGAGGAGGGGGGGGGGAAATTGCTAGAATCCTCCGGATCCACCTAGGATTCTTCTACCGATACATCTACCAACTAGTACCACTCACAGGATGTTGATCCTACCTATACATCTACCAACTAGTACCACTCACAGGACGTTGGTCCTACCTATACATCTACCAACTAGTACCACTCACAGGACGTTTCAGGTAACTACCTATACATCTACCAACTAGTACCACTCACAGGACGTTTTATATACATCTACCAACTAGTACCACTCACAGGACGTTGTCCTACCTATACATCTACCAACTAGTACCACTCATAGGACGTTGGTCCTACCTATACATCTACCAACTAGTACCACTCACAGGACGTTGGTCCTACCTATACATCTACCAACTAGTACCACTCACAGGACGTTGGTCCTACCTATACATCTACCAACTAGTACCACTCACAGGACGTTGGTCCTACCTATACATCTACCAACTAGTACCACTCACAGGACGTTGGTCCTACCTATACATCTACCAACTAGTATCACTCACAGGACGTTGTTCCTACCTATACATCTACCAACTAGTACCACTCACAGGACGTTGTTCCTACCTATACGTCTACCAACTAGTACCACTCACAGGACGTTGGTCCTACCTATACGTCTACCAACTAGCACCACTCACAGGATGTTGGTCCTACCTATACGTCTACCAACTAGTACCACTCCCAGGACGTTGGTCCTACCTATACATCTACCAACTAGTACCACTCACAGGACGTTGGTCCTACCTATACATCTACCAACTAGTACCACTCACAGGACGTTGGACTCCTCCACCTCTTTTTATTTTCTCAAATTTATTTTTGGTGTAACAAATGTGTGATATAACCTGTCAGAGCTTTGATTGGTTCAGGGTTTCCATAGTTTCCTTTGTGATGTCATAAATTCATGGCGTCATATGCTTTGTGACATCACCAAAGTAAGAAAGATAGAGTGAGATTTGAATTTTGTTTAGAATAACAAAGATGGATGATCAACAGAATCTTACACTCGCTTCCATTTCATATAAGATTCACAAAAACATTTCACTTTGATAAATTTTCAGACTTGTTCCATAAATCTTTAAAAGATCCTCAATATATAGCTGGTGTCATAATGTTTAGGCAGGGCATATTAGTGTACTTGTTGTGATTTAAACTGAACACCGTTTTAGAGTCCATGATTTCTGATCTTACAGAACCTAACTAGTTTACAGACTGGGATGTTTTAGCTGAGTTATCTTGTTGAGAGGAGAATTGATTTTTCTGTTAACAGTGATGATTTGGAACAACAAGGACTGGAGTGTGCCATGGGTCAAGGACTTTGAGGTGATATTGTCCAACTACTACACTAGTGACACACCACGTGCCATTAACAGAACATGGAAAACTGTAATAGAAAACTTCCCAGGATTTCTGTGTAAAGAACATACATTTAAAACAGGAATAGACTTCCAGGTAATCACAAAAATAATAAATTTTAGCTTTCCTGGTCAAAGGGAGCAATGAGCTTATACCATACTGTGATGTCTGGCGTCCATCAACATTTCCTAGAAATTGCCAATAGTCATAAACAACTTAGTGGATGTTGACAAAATTTGGTCTGAAGCATCCTTGAGGAAGAGGAACCAATTTTGTATAAATGATGGGTCTTGGGCCCATTTGGCCAGAAGGATGGGGCTAAATAGGGGATATCTAACAAATAAATTCTTTAAAATTTTTCTTCTCTAGGAATGACAGTATTTTGTATTATTATCATTGTGTATATAGGTAATTTGGTCAGAAACAGCCTTGGGAGAAGAGGAATCAATTTTGCACAAATTGAGAGTCTGGGTCCAAAGGGCCTGAGGGACAGGGGCCAATAAAGGATATATTGCAAATTATTTGAAGTCCTCTTTCTGCAGTAAGACAGGATTTTTCCCATGTTTGGTAAAAATAAATCCTTGGAGGACAGAGGACCAATTTTTATATAAACGGAACGTCATGGGCATGGATGATGGGGCCCAATAGAGGAAAGAAATGAATAGCTTTGGAATCCTTCAGTTGTTGGAATGAAGATAATTTTATCAAATTTAGTCAGAGGCATCCTTGGGGAAGAGGAACTAATTCTGTACAAATGGAGGACTTGGCCCCCATGGAGATTGAGGGATGGGGCCCAATAGGGATGACAAGATTTTATTGGCATTGGGTTGGAAGCATTCTTAGGTGAAGGGGACTTTTGTATGAAAAGTTTGGCTGACCTCCCTTGCAGTAGAGGAATGGGGCGAAGATCAAGGTAGCCATCTTGGATTATTGTTGTTATTTCTCAGAAAGTACTTGTACCTAAGGGATCATTTAAAAAATTACTTTAAGCTTTCTCTTGGTAATTTTTTAATTGTGATCCCCAGCTTTTGGCTGTTGTCTTGTGTTGTAAGCTTTTAACATTTTTTCCTTTTTCTGGAAAACTCAATGAAATTTTACAAAAACCTTCCATGGCTAAAGGCATAAAAAAAATTGTGAATCATGAGGTCCCTGACCCCAAGGGGCCTGAGGGGCAGGGCCAAAAATGGTCAAATTGATTGAAACTTTAAAAATCTTCTCAAATTCAAGGTAGGGTAGAATCAAATCTTCTTCATGGATGGAAAGGTTTCAGATACTTTATACCAAAATTGTAAATTTCATGACCCCAGACTTGAGTATTTTCCTCTGGGGAGGGATAAAATTTACTATAGTTTATATAGATAAATGACATTTTTGAGCAGTAATTGATTATTTCCTTTCAGTAATAGTTCAAACTTGATTAGAATTATTAGTATGAGCTGACAGTATGATGAGATATGCACATATTGCCCACAGCTTCCCCCAGGCAGAATAAATCAAAGAAGTTTGATACACATTAACAAGCCTTGAGAAATCAGCACAATCAACCTTCATCAAATAAAACTAAAAGACAACAAAGTCAACATCATGATCAGTACAGTATTAAAAATATATTATTCATAAATCATGAGCACCAAATGTACCTTGCCTACGAAGCGCAAACTTTTTAGCTTCAAAAACTTGAAAAAGTGTCATGGCGGTGGGTGTGAAAAACTTGAAAAAGTGTCATATCGGCGGGTGTGTGCGTGGGACAAACAGTCCAATTTTGTGACGTCTAATGAGGTAAAGCGATGTTATATAATAAGACAATCTCGCCACAACGACAAGGATTAAAGCAAAATTGATGTTCTGTTTGTAAGTTTTGTTTGTTTATAAGTGCTGTTAGTTGATAATTCAAACCAAGCCCCCAGACTAGATTCTTATCATGGCACCAACTCGCACGTACAGTGTTCTGTACGCTTGCATCATGTCGAGAAGGATTCATTGCTGCTAGAGGGCTCTAACTCTTTTCGATATTTCAGCCAATGAGAAGGCCAGGATCGGTAAATTTTGTCTGAAAGGCCGTAGCAATAGGCTATTCGTACTGAGTACGTTTAGCCTAAAAATGGGTCAGATTGACTGAAATTTCAAAGATGTTCTACTGTTCCTAGATAGAAAATTTTATATAGGAAAAATCAACTTACATCTTGTCAATAAAAATTTGTTGAAATGAAATGAAAATCAATTTTTGAGTGTAATTTCTTTTAATTCAAACTTGGTTAAAAGCCTTAGCATGGAACAGCAGTTAATGTTAAGTACGTTTGCATTATGTGTACAATGTAGTTAAAGTTAACTGAATTTTTTTAACCAAATAATTTCCATTACCTACATGTTACAAGAAGCATGGTGACTCAGGTGACCATTCAGGCCCTTGGGCCTCTTGTTGAGAGGGATTAGAATGAAATGCTTGCAGGCAATTTTGAAGATGAATACCGAAAGCAAATATAGACGACATCTATTATACATTTTTTCTATTAAGCTACACAAGTCTATGAGTTCTCTGGACATCTTAGTGTGATTATCATGGATAGAACTGTGAATTCAAAGCCATGTGATCAACAGTTATTTTTAGAAGTAAAACATGGTGTATAACATGTACACTGGAATCTTTTGATGAAAAAAATTATTCTGACTGTTATTCAGTTTATAAACTTAGATGGACATTTTTTGGAAAGATAATTTTACTGTTTCTCTGAATAATTATTAGTAATAAAAGAAAGAGATGTAAAATTATATAAATTCTCCTGATTTTTATTTTACTTAACATCAGTTAACAGGATTGGCTTATTACTGAGCTTACTACTGAATAAATATGTTAATAGGAATTCAAATCTTAATTTTAAAATCTTTAAAACTTAACTTTTTAACAAGTGTTTCTCTGTTTTATTTCAGGGAAACAAGGACTTCGTTGTCAGTCATTTCTGTACCATCAGTGTCATAGCCTCATTACCAGATGATGAAAAAGAGGCTGTACGACAGAAAATGTATAAAATTTTAGACAGCCATGAAGAAACAAGAGAGAAAGATATCATCAAAATTCCATTTGAAACAGAAATATATCATTCCGTTAAAGCTTAGTTTTTTATTGTGTACATCTTGTTACAAGTAAAACTTCTGATACATGAACTTTATATTCTATATAACATAGAGGCTTTACAGCTGATGTAATTGCTGAACCAAACGTTTATGATTTCATGACTGCAATGACATGTGATTAATATTTTCTGTTATCATACACCTTTTTAATGTAAATAAATTTGCCAATTTTTTTGTATTGTTTTGCTTTGTTTTTTATTTATTTATTTTTAATTGTTTTTTTTAATTTATTTGTTCTTTGTACACTACAGTAGCTTTAGAAGGATTTTATCAACATATATATAACAGTAATCATATATAGCAGTAATCATATATAACAGTAATCATATAGTGTGTTTTTACTCTGACAGGATTCTTACAAGTGTACTACGTAATATAGATATTGTGTTTTTACTCTGAAAGGATTCTTACAAGTGTACTACGTAACATAGATATTGTGTTTTTACTCTGAAAGGATTCTTACAAGTGTACTAAGTAACATACAGATATTGTGTTTTTACTCTGAAAGGATTCTTACAAGTGTACTACGTAACATACAGATATTGTGTTTTTACTCTGAAAGGATTCTTACAAGTGTACTACGTAACATAGATATTGTGTTTTTTATCTGACAGGATTCTTACAAGTGTACTATGTAACATAGATATTGTGTTTTTTATCTGACAGGATTCTTACAAGTGTACTAAGTAACATACAGATATTGTGTTTTTACTCTGAAAGGATTCTTACAAGTGTACTAAGTAACATACAGTAACATACAGATATTGTGTTTTTACTCTGAAAGGATTCTTACAGGTACTACGTACAAGTGTTTTTACATAGATTCTTACAAGTGTACTAAGTAACATAGATATTGTGTTTTTACTCTGAAAGGGTTCTTACAAGTGTACTAAGTAACATACAGATATTGTGTTTTTACTCTGAAAGGATTCTTACAAGTGTACTACGTAACATACAGATATTGTGTTTTTACTCTAAGTAACATACAGATATTGTGTTTTTTATCTGAAAGGGTTCTTACAAGTGTACTAAGTAACATAGATATTGTGTTTTTTATCTGACAGGATTCTTACAAGTGTACTACGTAACATACAGATATTGTGTTTTTACTCTGAAAGGATTCTTACAAGTGTACTACGTAACATAGATATTGTGTTTTTTATCTGAAAGGATTCTTACAAGTGTACTACGTAACATACAGATATTGTGTTTTTACTCTGAAAGGATTCTTACAAGTGTACTACGTAACATAGATATTGTGTTTTTACTCTGAAAGGATTCTTACAAGTGTACTACGTAACATAGATATTGTGTTTTTACTCTGAAAGGATTCTTACAAGTGTACTACGTAACATACAGATATTGTGTTTTTACTCTGAAAGGATTCTTACAAGTGTACTACGTAACATACAGATATTGTGTTTTTACTCTGACAGGATTCTTACAAGTGTACTACGTAACATACAGATATTGTGTTTTTACTCTGAAAGGATTCTTACAAGTGTACTACGTAACATACAGATATTGTGTTTTTACTCTGAAAGGGTTCTTACAAGTGTACTAAGTAACATACAGATATTGTGTTTTTACTCTGAAAGGGTTCTTACAAGTGTACTAAGTAACATACAGATATTGTGTTTTTACTCTGAAAGGATTCTTACAAGTGTACTACGTAACATACAGATATTGTGTTTTTTATCTGACAGGATTCTTACAAGTGTACTACGTAACATAGATATTGTGTTTTTACTCTGAAAGGATTCTTACAAGTGTACTAAGTAACATAGATATTGTGTTTTTACTCTGAAAGGGTTCTTACAAGTGTACTAAGTAACATACAGATATTGTGTTTTTACTCTGAAAGGGTTCTTACAAGTGTACTAAGTAACATACAGATATTGTGTTTTTACTCTGAAAGGGTTCTTACAAGTGTACTAAGTAACATACAGATATTGTGTTTTTACTCTGAAAGGATTCTTACAAGTGTACTAAGTAACATACAGATATTGTGTTTTTACTCTGAAAGGATTCTTACAAGTGTACTAAGTAACATACAGATATTGTGTTTTTACTCTGAAAGGGTTCTTACAAGTGTACTAAGTAACATACAGATATTGTGTTTTTACTCTGAAAGGGTTCTTACAAGTGTACTAAGTAACATACAGATATTGTTTTTACTCTGAAAGTTTTTTACTAAAGGTGTTTTTACTTACAAGTGTACTACAACATACAGATATTGTGTTTTTACTCTGACAGGGTTCTTACAAGTGTACTAAGTAACATACAGATATTGTGTTTTTACTCTGAAAGGATTCTTACAAGTGTACTAAGTAACATACAGATATTGTGTTTTTACTCTGAAAGGATTCTTACAAGTGTACTAAGTAACATAGATATTGTGTTTTTACTCTGAAAGGATTCTTACAAGTGTACTAAGTAACATAGATATTGTGTTTTTACTCTGAAAGGATTCTTACAAGTGTACTACGTAACATACAGATATTGTGTTTTTACTCTGAAAGGATTCTTACAAGTGTACTACGTAACATACAGATATTGTGTTTTTACTCTGAAAGGGTTCTTACAAGTGTACTACGTAACATACAGATATTGTGTTTTTACTCTGAAAGGGTTCATACAAGTGTATATACAGATATTGTGTTTTTACTCTGACAGGATTCTTACAAGTGTACTAAGTAACATACAGATATTGTGTTTTTACTCTGAAAGGGTTCTTACAAGTGTACTACGTAACATACAGATATTGTGTTTTTACTCTGAAAGGGTTCTTACAAGTGTACTACGTAACATACAGATATTGTGTTTTTACTCTGAAAGGATTCTTACAAGTGTACTACGTAACATACAGATATTGTGTTTTTACTCTGAAAGGATTCTTACAAGTGTACTAAGTAACATAGATATTGTGTTTTTACTCTGAAAGGATTCTTACAAGTGTACTACGTAACATACAGATATTGTGTTTTTACTCTGAAAGGGTTCTTACAAGTGTACTAAGTAACATACAGATATTGTGTTTTTACTCTGAAAGGATTCTTACAAGTGTACTAAGTAACATACAGATATTGTGTTTTTACTCTGAAAGGATTCTTACAAGTGTACTAAGTAACATACAGATATTGTGTTTTTACTCTGAAAGGATTCTTACAAGTGTACTACGTAACATACAGATATTGTGTTTTTACTCTGAAAGGATTCTTACAAGTGTACTACGTAACATAGATATTGTGGGTACCTAACGTCATCACTAATGAGTAAAACAATTATTTTACACTAAAACCTAAATGATGTGTTTGACCAGTATATTGAAGCCAGTGAACCCACAAGAGTACAATTTACCAATTAACCTGAAAGAGTTATTTCCCATCTTACATCATATACATTGTAGAACACAGTGTAATGTCTGTCAAAAGTGTTGCTTTTTAAAGGTGTTGCTTTTGTCTGTTTGCTGGGTTAATTGCCCTGTCAACAGCAAGGGTCATTTTGAGGAAGGGTCTCCTTGTAGTAGATGATGGCAACATCACTGAACAGCATAAGGAAGGACCATCACATATCATCCTGAACAGTTGGGATAAAGTGTCTTGGCAAGGACCACATGTTTCTCATCTTCCTGTAGTAAGGATCATCAGGCTAAACACCTGGGATCTTTACATTATTATAGACCTATTATAGTGGTATATAGGTGACCTGTACTGTGACCTCTGTCACTAATATTACTATACATACAGGAGGTCCTATTATAGTGGTATATAGGTGACCTGTACTGTGACCTCTGTCACTAATATTACTATACATACAGGAGGTCCTATTATAGTGGTATATAGGTGACCTCTCTACTAATATTACTATACATACAGATATAGATATTACTATACATACAGTGTGGTATATAGGTGACCTGTACTCTCTGTCACTAATACTAATATTACTATACATACAGAAGGTCCTATTATAGTGGTATATAGGTGACCTGTACTGTGACCTCTGTCACTAATATTACTATACATACAGAAGGTCCTATTATAGTGGTATATAGGTGACCTGTACTGTGACCTCTGTCACTAATATTACTATACATACAGGAGGTCCTATTATAGTGGTATATAGGTGACCTGTACTGTGACCTCTGTCACTAATATTACTATACATACAGGAGGTCCTATTATAGTGGTATATAGGTGACCTGTACTGTGACCTCTGTCACTAATATTACTATACATACAGGAGGTCCTATTATAGTGGTATATAGGTGACCTGTACTGTGACCTCTGTCACTAATATTACTATACATATATAGGTGAGGTCCTATTATAGTGGTATATAGGTGACCTGTATATAGGTGACTGTGACCTCTGTCACTAATATTACTATACATACAGAAGGTCCTATTATAGTGGTATATAGGTGACCTGTACTGTGACCTCTGTCACTAATATTACTATACATACAGGAGGTCCTATTATAGTGGTATATAGGTGACCTGTACTGTGACCTCTGTCACTAATATTACTATACATACAGGAGGTCCTATTATAGTGGTATATAGGTGACCTGTACTGTGACCTCTGTCACTAATATTACTATACATACAGGAGGTCCTATTATAGTGGTATATAGGTGACCTGTACTGTGACCTCTGTCACTAATATTACTATACATACAGAAGGTCCTATTATAGTGGTATATAGGTGACCTGTACTGTGACCTCTGTCACTAATATTACTATACATACAGGAGGTCCTATTATAGTGGTATATAGGTGACCTGTACTGTGACCTCTGTCACTAATATTACTATACATACAGGAGGTCCTATTATAGTGGTATATAGGTGACCTGTACTGTGACCTCTGTCACTAATATTACTATACATACATATAGGTGACCTGTACTGTGACCTCTGTCACTAATATTACTATACATACAGAGGTCCTATTATAGTGGTATATAGGTGACCTGTACTGTGACCTCTGTCACTAATATTACTATACATACAGGAGGTCCTATTATAGTGGTATATAGGTGACCTGTACTGTGACCTCTGTCACTAATATTACTATACATACAGGAGGTCCTATTATAGTGGTATATAGGTGACCTGTACTGTGACCTCTGTCACTAATATTACTATACATACA